TGCGGGCGCTCCGGCTCCCGGCGATCGGCGGCATCTCCCGGCCGGGAGCGGGACGGAGGGACCCCGCCGCCCGCAGCGCAGACGGGAGCGGTGCCGCAGCGGAGCCGATCTGAACCGAGCCAGAGATCTTTCAAAAGAACGTTTTTGGGAGGAAGGGAACGGGAGCTGCTGCGCGGTCGCTGTGACACCCACCCGGGATCGCGGCCGCCCCGGGGCGAGCGGGAGGATGCCGTGTCCCTGAAGATGTTGTCCACCAGCGGGACGTGACTCGCTCCCCGTGTGATCCCCGTTCCCCCCCGTAAGCAGGACGGCCATTCCCCAAACGGGAGCGCCCAGCCGAGGATAAGCCGTGCTCCCGGCGCACAGCTCCTTTCCCGGGAAAACCATGGTGCACCCCCCGATCAGCCCCCACCCCCCGATCAACGGCCTCCCCCCAGGTGACATTTTCCAAGCATCAAGGGGCGATGTGCCCCCGCAGCAGTGATGCCCAAACTGGCTGGAAACGAAAAAAGATCTGTAAAAGTTTCTTCGAACAATGAAACTGGAGACGGGGATGCCCCCAGGGCTGTCCCCGCAGGTATCCCACAGTCAGCCTCTGCAGGATTCAAGTCCTGTTGTGTGTGTAGTGGAGGAACTTTGGAGCCCCCTCAGACCCGCTGACTGCAGGGCACGATGAGCATCAGCTGCCAGGAAAACCTGCCCCAGGAGAGGGGCTGGAAACCCACCACCACGTCCCGTCCTGGTCCCGCGTGTCCCCTCGGGCAGCCGTCTCTGCTGTGCCCCTTTGCCCGAGGCTGGCACGAGGATGGAGCACACCTACGTGGGGACTCTTAGTCCTAAATTCAGAGGGGACCCAGCTGGGAAATGAGCCGCTTGGCAGGGCTGGTTCGCCCAGGGAGGCTCCATTTCCAGCTGACTCAAGCAGCTGAGAACCCACATCCCAATTCTGCTGAGCCCCCGTCAGTGGGGGAGGCTCCACTGAGGCCAAGAAACCACTGACCAACAGTGTCTTTGGAAGCAGAAAGTGGATTTAGTGCTTGTTAAGAAACAACTTGAAGGCAGATGTTCTGTGACAAGGAACTGTCTGTTTACCCCACTTCCACAGTCAACACATCAACGCATCATGATTTGACCTGGAAGAATGACAGCTCCAGTGAGGAAGATGAGCCAATTCTTCACCTCCACTGTGACAACCCAGCATAACCATGCCCTTGCCACATCCCTGTTTGTCCCCAGGACTTGGGTGGAGCTATCAAACCACTTCCCACAGACCAGCTGAAAAGCTGAGTAACGACTCCTAATCCTGTAAATGATGGGATTAAAACTGTTGATGTGGGAGTAGGAGGCCGCTGCTTGCACACTCAGTCATCATGGCTCCTGTTGATCCTGAGCCACATTCAAGAGCCACAGTGAGCCCAACCAGCACTGTGGGGCAACTACCCCAAAAGAATGCAGAAACATTAAACTTCACAGCCAGCACCCACCTCCTGTTGCGAGCCAGACAGCTCTAGCAAAAGCAGCCCGTGCACTTGCTTCATCCATAATCCACTGGAATTTCCATTATGGTTGTGGGGAGACTATAGAGAAAAACAGCTGCTTTTGCTTTTTGATCTTGTGCTAGTTCACAGCACTTGCATCCTAAAAACAGAGAAAATGGCTCAGTCTCCTCCCCTTAAGATGTTGTTGCCATTGCCGTCTGGGTTCTGTGTTCCTGAGGCCACACGACCAAAACCCAGGAGGATCATCGGTGAGGTATCTGCTCACTTCCAGCTTGTACAAATACTAGAGAATTCAGAAATTCATCTATGAAACCTGGTACATAAAATACTTACATTTAGAGTGGTGGCCCAACCGACATCATACAGGCTCCAACCTTTCCCCCCCGGGACTGGGCTTTCGGTCAGTGGATGCTGTCCCACCAGCTGAATTCCTCCTTGTCAGAGCTGAGCCAGGGCCTGGAGCTGCTCCATCATGAGATCCACCTGAGAAACACAGGTGAGGCTGGAACAGCACTGTGCTTTGCTCAGCACAGAGATAACCCCACAATCCCAGGGAGGAGCAAGTCCAAAGGACTGAGATCCAGCACCTGCCCCGTCCCCACCGGAGCAGCCCCGTCACACACCTGCTCAGAGCAGGAAAACAGACCAACTCCCGGTTCTTCAGAGACAGACACCTCTTGGGCATCTCTCCACTTGTATCCCCCTCCCATCGTGGGGGGGTGTCCTGGGCTGCGGGAAGGAGCTGGGTGAGGAAGAAGGTGCTGCTCTTCGTCCCCCCTGCCTGCAGAGCAGCCAGTTCCTCCTCGCCGTGCCCAGGTGCTGCAGGGCTGATTGCAGGATGGAGTTTGATGGTTGGATCCATGGGGAATGTGCTCCAATTTTAGGCTCTTAGGGGCTCAGCACAGTTTTAACCCACCCTCTTTTTCTCCCTGACCCCCCACCCCGTCCCTTTGGAAACATCCAAATTAGGCCAGTGTTAATAGCTGAGGTCTTTATTTAAAGTTTTTTATATACAGTAAAAGTGTCACAGATAAATCTGCAACAATCAGACAAGACAAATGTAAATCTCTCTCAACAATTAGCAGCTTAAGATCTATAAACTACAGTGTTACGTTCACAAGTGTCATTTCTGTACTTTTCAACCCGTGCAAGTGAGTTTTTCTGTTTATTTTTTTACACTTTTAAAACACACTTACAGCTAAGTCAATTGCCTACGACTAGACCACCTGGCATACACAACACAGACACACAGGGTTTTTAACTCTTTAGCCACATTCAGAATTCACTTAAAAACTGGCAAAACTACCCAATCTTGAACCCCTTTGTAGCGTGGCTTCTTTTGTTATAATGCTGCTTTTTTAATAAAAAAAATGCACATTTTCAAAGCTGAAAGACAGTGCTTTTCTGTCCCAGTGCAACATGTACAGAACTCAACATTTCATCTGATTAGACCCTAAGAATTCATGGGACTGGAATAAACCAATGAAATAATTGCTGTGAGCATGCTCAGTATCATTAAACTAAACTAATGAGGCTGACAGAAAACAAAACTTTATAAAATTTAAAATGGTAGTTTTTTTGCATCAAGATTTTCTTTCTTTACATTTCGAAAGCAAATGGGGGAAATGTGAACTTCATTTGAACTACAGAATTTCAATGAAGACCTGCTGCTTTTTGAACTAACGCAGTCCGTTACATTCTTCCCTTTTTATATGCCAAGTTGATATGTGCTAAACATATCTAAGCAATTTTAGAATCGTTTCAACTCTGAATATGAAATGTTTTGGGAAACATTCTGCAACTCAGAGATGACGTGTACATCCATGGAAAGGCTAATAAAGGTACTCACATGCACACTCACATCCATGGCAGAAACCATCTTCTACGCATCATCCAGAAATGCTTCATCAAGAAAGCAAACACAACCACTTACAAGGGAAGGGAGCTTTAAAGCTAGAATCACATTTCCAACAATATAATCATTGTTACGCTATCAGAAATCATCACAGACCTTCCAACTGAAGAGGGAGAGGAGAACCCCAAAACGCTCTGCTAATGCAAAAGGCAAAACACACGGCAGTTAGGGTACGAGAAGTGGAGGCAGCATCATATATGGCATTACTGCACACAACTCTCTGGAATGGAAGGAACTGTCGAGAGAGAAAGAGACAGACAGACAGACAGACATTGTCCAGAACCATATGTACATGGCCTTCACCAAACAGTTTTGAGGTGATAAGTTTCTATTAAGCCTGCGCCTTCTGGCAAATTAGCTATTCTGGCAAATTAGCTATTATTTACTGAAGACAACTCAGAGCGGAGACACTAAATGAAATTAGGATGCAAAGAAGAGGAGGGACAAACACTTCCTTCAGATACTACGGACAAGTGGCACCCAGTGTCCAGATCCATGGGCCTCCAACTCCTTCCTGCCTTGACCACACAAACACCTACCATAAGCAACTCTAGCGGGATCAAAACTGAGAAAAAGAGAGGTACAAAGACCAGGTTTCAGAAATAAAGGCAACAAAGCTCTTCAATTATGTGCCAAATCAGTTCTTACTGTTGTTCACACCTTTATTTCTGACAAAAGCTTCGCAGTGGGAAGACGATGGTTCCCCATGTGACGTGAATCAGCCAGAGAAGGGGGATGAACAGAAGAGGGTTTGGCTGGCGCTAGAAGCTCGGGGAGGGAGGGAATATTTATGCAACCTCTGCTGTCTGCAGCTCTGTGGAAAGCATGGTTATTTTTGGCTTGAGTCAGTTGCAATTGGCAATTTGTGTTTTAAGTAGGACAGGAGCAGATTAGTGCACGTGATGGCAGAGAGGGGTGTGCGGGGATCCCCGGGAAGGGGGTACCTGAGATTCCTGGGGCCATGGGAAACATAAACTGAATCTTCCAAGGAAATGGGATGGCTGGATGGTGGGGGGGACTGATTTCCACTGGAAATCAGAGGACCCTCAGGGCTGTTAATCTGGTCTGAGGGAATTTCTCAGAACCCAGAATTCGCATCATAGTAAAAAGTCCCAGGGCTCTGTGTGTGTGTGTATATCTATATATCTATATATGATGTTCCATATATGTCTATGTACAATTTCAACTGGTTCAGGTCACTTGGGCAACATTTGGATCCTAGAGGGAACTTAAGCCTGGAAAGAAGGAAAACAGTAAGATCTAACTAAACACCATAAATGGTTTTGAAAGAGAATCCTGGAGTTGTTCTGGATTTCACGGAGAGGGAAGCTGAATCTTGGCTTTGTTCCAGTGAAAGGGACACAAGTCAAAAACCAGCACAGAGTGAAGGCAGATGCCAGCACCGACACGTCCCAGCAACAGCCCGTTGCCAGGACTCGAGAGTTACGTTTGAAGCTGACATTTCCTTCGGGGCTCCGAGAAGGTACCGACACCAAGTGCTGGCCCCGGGCTGAAGAGGATGATGCTCTCTGTGGCACAGCACACAAAGATCTCTACAGACACGCAATGATCCTACCAGAGCCTGACAGGAGGAAAGCTTTGGTTTCACTTTTTAGGGTTTTATTTAAAAACTAAATCAGAGATATTTCTGAGACAACCATTCTTTTAAGTGGGCTGTTGATTTCCTTAAAGGAACCTGTCTTTTCCCTAGGAAGGGATGAAGAGAAATTCCTTGTTCTTATCCTGAGGCCAGGAATGAGAGATGACGTGGAAATGAGGAATATAAAACTACTCTCCTTCACATCTGGAGAAAGATAAAAAAAAGCCCTGCAGGACAAAAATGTGTGGAGAAGAGAGAGGTTTTCTTGATGCTGCATCTGAACGGCCAGGAGGACAGATCAATGGCGTGTGAATAGCGCTGCGCTCTGGACAGGCTGGCACTAGAAACTGCTCTCTGCCCTCCTCAAAACTGTTTCAGGACAAGACAGTTCACAATTATTCACGCATTTCTTCATTTAAAAACATCACTTCTTTATTTAAAAGGAAAAAAAAAACCAAAACGTAATGACCCTCCCGACCCCTTCCAAAAAAACCCCCAATAATAATAATAATAATTATAATAAAAAATCCTATTAGAAACAATAAGGAAGCACTGAGAGTTTGAGTATTACACTCTTCAAGTATGCTGTTTGGATTTTTTTTAAATCTGTGAATATACATATATAAAAAAAACCTTAAAAGTGCGACCAAGGGCTTCTGCTTAAAGATAAGTATTTCAAGGACTACTTCAAAATACTGTAGCACAACTGTGCAGTTTCTCTGTATGGCATGAGGCTTCCACTTCATATGCTCTGCAAAGTTAGCCAGCCTTCCAGAAAGTTCCTGTAAGTCAGGTGAGCACAAAGAGTGACCCCAGACACTGAGCTGGGAGAGAGATCCACGTTGCTGCTTTTCTCATGTTAAGGAAAGAACCAACTCTGAGTGCATACATTTGGACATGGAATGTGAGCAGACTTCACAGTAAAAGTTTAGTGTTAGGGTTTGCTGCGGTACCATCACTCAAGGCTGTGCACCAGACTGAGCTGTGCTCGTCTGAAGCTAACCACATCTCTTCTTCCTGACAGGTTTAGTACAGTAGTTCAAGCCACAATTTAAATTGCCCATTGGTATGCTCCAAATTTCTGTATTTTATTTATTTCTTTTGTACACTTTAAAGAATCTTAAGATTTGCATCCAAAGAGAACCATGCTACATAAAAATTATCCAGGATTCTCGCCAAAAAGAGTTCTTGAATAAAATCTAAAAAATACTATTGCAATGCATCTCGCAGAGAAAAAACGTTATTCTAAATGTAAACAAATTCACTCGGACACTTTAAAACTTCAGCGGAGTAGTTGCTGACTAATCTTTGCCACGCTTGCTCGCCGAGAGTGCCGGGAGGAGGGTGACGCAGCCAGGTCCTGCCACCATCATCTGGGGGGGGACAAGAACCGTTCCAAGTAGCCGGTGATGGCGTCCCAGTGCTTCCACAAAAAGGCAATGAAAACCACTATAAATAAAGTGCTGAACGTCCTATTGCGAGTCTTCATGAGGGGCACAACGCAGTTGGCCACGGTGGAGACAAAGACGAGGAGGACAGCCATGACGGCCAGGAGGATGTTGATGAACTTCCCCAGCAGGTTCCTGGCCGTGGCATTCTCCAGCCCCTCCAGCTGCACCACCTGCTGCTGCTGCTGCTGCAGCTCCATCTTGGAGATGCGGGTCTGGCAGGCCTCCAGAGCCTCCTGCGGGCGAGAACACACCGCTGGGTCGCCAGCGCCCCACAGGCCCCACGGCTCCTACCTGAGCAGGGCCACCCTCCTGGTGCCTCACACGGCTCCTGCGGGATGTGAGTCACCGTCCCCATCACGCCCGCAGCCGCAGCAGAGGAAGCTGTGCCATTCCACGTGGCTGAGGGCGAGGAGCCCCTCCTTAACGAGGTATTGCCATTAGTGACACAGCGCCTCGTCTCGCCTGCACCGGAGAGGCTGGACAGCGAGGTGACGAGCTGGCACGAGCCAGGCTTTGTAACACCCGGCTGCCACCTTGCATGGCCAGCTGCTGTCCCCACACAGGGTCACCCGGGACCTGGCCACCCACCCTCTGCCGGCAGCAGGAACCAGACAGCCCTGGTCTGTCCAGAGAGACTGAGCTGCTCATCCCAGCTCTGCTGCCAGGAGACCACTGAGGGGCAGAGGTGTCCAGCCAGCACCCCTCCTCCTCCTCCTCTCCTGGGGCATTCCCAGAGCTTCCCATTTCCATCACCTTCCTTGCAGTGGCTTGTGCTTGTCTGACCCCATTCAATTCTCTCGTCAACCTGGCAGAAAACTAAGTCAACAAAAATAACTAATGAAAAAGGCTGGGCCTCATCCCACTGGCTCAGTGACTGCACAAGCTCAGGGGACGGTCTGAGGAGCACCAGGGCTGGAACTGCCCCGATGGTGTCTCCTCCTCCCCACTGCAGTGAGCTGTGGCACCACAAGGATCGGAGAAAGGAGATGTCCAGGAGAAGGGTAAGAAGCACAAGACTTATGAAACTGCCTCTAGGAAGGGGCAAAGCAGAAGTACATGGAAGAAGACGACTATGCTGTACAAAACATCTCTAAAGCACTGCTGACCTGGGGGTGATTGGTTTTGGACCTTTTCACCGTGCTGAACTTCAAATGGACCAACCCAACTCACAGCACAACACTGGTGACATGCCACGGTGGGCTAGGGAACAGGAGAGGGGCTTTAAGGCAATTAATGGAATGAAACCTTTCTGCTGTTGGAGATACAGAGTTACAATTCTTCTATTAATCCTCCCTCAGAGTTGCTTTTCTCAGACCTAAAGGCCAACTGCAGGTCCATCTCCAGCCTGCACAAGTGGCCGTCTCTGGCTGATCCCCCAAACTGAACCCGGGATGCCGCCCCGCAGGCCCTGCTGCAGCACCAGCCCGTGCTCTGCACCAGGGCTCCTTGTGGGAAAGCTGAACACCCACCTTCACCCCAGCAACGTGCAGGAACAGGCTGTCCCAATTTGCAAGTTTACGCTAAAAGCACTGAATCATAAATTAAAAATGAAATTAAAAAAAAAAAAAAATTAAGAAAAGCTATTGAGAAATCCCCGTTTCAAGTTTTAAACCTTACTTCTTCCTGCCCTGTCAAACTAGAGGAGAATGAGACCTGAGTATTGTCACCTCCCCCCAAGGGAGAGCTCCCCGTTCACTCTGTCAGAGGCCATGGCACCGCTCTCCACAGGCGCTGATTTATTTTAACCTCAGCTTAAAGGCCATTGTCACCTGTCACATTTCTCTGCCATTGCATCGTGCCCGTGGAGGTCAGTGACACGTGCGGGGTCCTCTCACCGGGGCCATGGGAGCCCAGGGCAAACTGCCTGGCCCCCCCAGCCATGGCCAGGACTGCGGCCGATCCACGGCCACGGGGAAATCACCCACCCGAGGCTTCTCAGGGGCAGAAACGGGCAGAGCTTTGACCTACGGCTCTCTGCTCACACCATCAATATCCCACATCAGATCAAACGTGAGATGCCTGCTAAAACCACCACAAGGACCTGAAACGGACGACAGATCTCTTTCAGAACAGGCCTTTCTTTCCAAGGTTTGGCAGCTGCTCAGATCATTCCCCAGGTCTTTTGCTCTGGGGAAGGGCTTCCAACTCCATAGTCTCTGTTTCCATAGCTTTGGTCTTTCACATACTGAAAGAAACTTCTCATTTAAAAATACCTCCTTATTTGGGAAAAACCAAGAGAAAGACTTGTTTCCTGACAGTGGATACACAAAGCCATTTTTCCTTAGACATATGTGATCATTGCTCTAAAATTAGTGACACAGAAACACACCCTTGGGTCAGTTTACTGAAAACACGCTGCAAAAAAAGCATTCAGGTCTGGGCCCATCAGTTTTGACTTCCCTACAAAACCCCACACAAAAGGTGAGTGCAGGTTCCCACTTGCCTACAACCAACTGAACACTCTGCTCTGGAGCAAGCGGGGGCTCCCCTGGAAGGAACTTGCCTGGTGGTGACCTGTAGGGACACCGAGGGACACAGATGGAACAACGGCCCCTCCAGTGCTCCTCAACACACAGTTCAGTGATAAAGCTACCAGAACAAAACCAGATGCGGAACCACAGGAGCGTTTCCAAAGCGAATGAGCTGTGGGTAGAGCAGGGGGGCTCCAGTCAGGGCTGGAGTGTCCCTGGCTGTGTCACCCACCTGGATGTCCCGTGCTCGCTCGTAAGACTGGTAGGCGATTTTCTCCTCCATGCTGGCCAACTCCTGCTTTAAATTAAGGATCTCGTTCTGGTGGAGCTCAGTCAGGTCATTCAGCTGCTCTTCCAGTCTCTCGCATCTAGAAATGACACACAGAGCACAGCAGCTTTAAGAGGACGGCAACATCACGCTGGTGACAATCGAGCAGTGAGCATCACAGACTTTTCCCCGAACACCAGTGTGTCTGCCCCATCACCACAGAAGTGGGCACTGCAGTGGGCCCTCTCTGGGAACTGAGGAAACCCTTCCCACCAGGCTTCTGTTCTGGGGAAAAACACACAGAGCAGTTAAATGACAACTGTCCAGTGATGCAAGAAATCAAGGACAGAATTAGGATACAGTAAGTTATTCCCCAAACTTTTGTTTAAACCAAACAGCTCCCTTCTAATACCATAAGCTCTTAAGCATTTTCACCTATGCTGGGAACAGTAACTGGCATAAAAATGACACAGCACTTAAACACGACCGATGCCTCAGAGAACATGATGGTCCTGTCTGATCTTCGCATGTGAGCACACATGGGTATCCTCGACTGATTTTTTCTTTATTTCTCATGAATGATTCAGCCTAACTAGCAAAGGTCATCATATTATTTACACGGAAGGCACATGAATCATTAACCTGCAGGCTTATTTTTCAGTATGCTACTAGGAATGGCCTGGGAGCAGTCCTGAGAAAGAGGCAGCCCCAAAAACTGAGTTACAACAATTCTGAGAGACAGGGTTTTGTTTCCTATTCAGGGGGTTTTAAGTTTACTTCAATGTTCCATATGTTACTTTGCTCCATAATGTTATTTTAGCACTTTCAAAATACATTAGGGATATCTTGCATTTGTATGTAGGCACTTCAGTTTTGGAATTTCAAGCCCAAATTTCCAAGGACCTCACGTTTTAATACCCTTTTAAACCAGGCGAGTATTTGTTTTACTTTCAGAGGGTAAATACACAGAGGGAGCTGGGCCCCTGCTCAAGGGTGGGGAGGAGGAGCCGGGCACCATCCACACCATTCTCTTCCTCCCCTTGGCTCCGTATTCCTGGTCATTGAGTGGGGGCTGATGGCAACCAAGGTTTGGGAGCAGCCAAGGTTTGAGGCCTTTGGGTGTTCCTGCTCTGATTTCCACAGCCTGCCCTCCCATCCTAACAGCACGGAAAAAGCTTAGCGCATAGCTCTTATCATCTGACCCTTGGTACTAACAACTGAGAAATTTCTGAAGAATTAAGCACGGAGATAATTCCTTGTTTTAATTGCAGTTCCCTTCTGACTCCATCTGAATTTAATTTATACACACGCATATGCATAAAATGAATAAACAATATTTATCTAGAACAAAGAATTTAATCACAAGTTCTGAAAAACTAAGACAAAAATCCTGCTCCCATTTTTTTTTTCAAGATCTTTGGTGCTTCACAAGCTAAATATTCAGAATCTGTAGGGACAAATCAGCCCTTACAAACACTCTTGGGGTTTTGTTTTAATTGAAAAGTCTGAAGACAATTTTCATTTACATTCCCAAAGCAATATTGCTTTAAACTAAGAGGGAGCCAGACGCAGCATGACAGTTTCCAACCAGTTGACCAGCAGCAAGACTGGGGCCACTAGAGCTGCCACAAGGGCCATGACACCAGGGCAGGACCCAGGAGGGAACTGGTTTCCCAGGAACAACCAGCTGCAGACAAGGGAACTGCCGTGTGAAGTCGGGCTAATGAAGAAGGAGCCCAGATAATTAATATTGCCATTTGTTCCCACCCAACTTCAAAAAAAAACCTCCAACTTGCCAACAACCAAGAAATCACAACTAAACCCGCTCTAAGTCCCAAAGGCAGCATAAATTACTTGAAATATATTCAGTTTGTTAATGTATTACAAAATTCTCCAGTGAGTTTGTTACACAAAAAGGGATGTAAGCATTTCTGAAAATATCATGATTATGTCTTTTAACCTCCTCCCACATAAACGCCCTTCATAAACCAGCTGTTGCCAGGCAGCTTAAATCCTGTTCTCCAACAAGAAACAATTGTATTTTAATAACTTCAAATCTACCTCAATCTGCAGGAAACATAAGGAAACCCTGCAAATCCATATAGTTAAGAGTTTAAGCGTAACACGATTAGCAAAAGGGCTGGCTCCAACCCTCCCTGCCCCGACGGCCAGTTCCCCAGCGGCTCCCTCTCCTGCTCCTCCGGGGGGCTCCTGCAGGATGCACCCAAGAATCACCCCCACTTTCACAGCCTGGTGCATCAGGCAACGGCTGGAATTGGGTGATTGAAAAAAAAACCAACACCAAACACAAAACCCCCAACCTACCCAGACTTATTTTTGAAATTATACTTGCTCCATTCCTCTCCTTTTCACCCTTTGAACCACCATCTACAATTTAGAAAACTTTTTTTTTTCCTGCTGTTTCCTACTGGCATTCAAATTTGAAGAGCTAAGAGGGGTTCATGTGACGAGGAGGGCCTGAAGCCAGGGTTTTCCCGCTGAGGGATGGTGTACATTTAACCCAGAGATGCTACAAAAATAAAAGGGCTAAGATTATACTCACACCTCCCTCTCTAACGTGCGAGTGCCAGAGTCTGCGCAACAGACCCTCAACTCGCCTGTGAACACAGCACTGCCTTCTGTGATCAAATCCCTCTTTATTTCAGGTACAGAAAACACCTCATTAGACTCCAAGAATTATTTTTTTCACTAGCTAAAATGTGAAATTTCGCTTTAAAATTACTAGTCTCTAGATTAACAAGCTCCAGCACGGCAAGTTTTCTGTACGACAGACTAGTGCCAACTGCCAGGAGCAGATCAGAGCCGCTCCAAGGATGGCCGGGACGCTGCTGGGGAGCACGGCAGGGCAGGGGACGTGGGAACACCTCACCCAAAGAAGCTGGTTCAGATTCCACACCTTTTCTGGGGCTTGCTGTATGGGAATCAGGGAACTGGTTTTAAAAAGGCTAGAGAACACAAGTACAACCATCTCACGTTTTTAAGAGCTTTAAGGCATTTTAAAGTAACAGCTGCAAAATTCATGGCTCATACAGCCTGTGTAAGGGAGAGACATGATGATAAAGACATTTTATCTGCATTCAGTAAGTGCTCTGCCAAGTAAAGAACTTCTGACCAAACTGACACTGAAATACCTTTGCAGTATGGGGCGAAGGGAGTTTAATACCTCTCTTCAAGCATGTCTCAAGATGCACCTTTTTTATAGCTATGTCATATAAAATCCATCTGATCTTCATTTTTATGTTACTGAACACAGTGCTTTCAGTGGCAGAGTGGTAGCTAAAAGCAGTTCTCTATTTGCTCCTGTCCGGATGACAGCGGACTCACTCCCGCGTTGCAGAGAGGCCCCAGCCCAGGAGCAGCCCTGCTGGAGACAGAGCTCTGATGGAGGCTCCCGCGCTCCCATGGCCGGACAAGGGTCCCACTGACCCCCCCCCCACTCCAGAAGGGCCTCTGCAACCCCTCAGACCTCACAGATTTAGTGTCTTCGGTCTGGTTTAAAATCAATCCTGAGAACAGACTCGAGTCCAAGACTCCAGCAAAAATCAGGTAAATGAGTGCACCAGCATTTTGGCCGACAGATTTCTCCTGACAGGAGCGTGGGAGACCTGAATGCCCTTTCCAAGGATGCCGGGCTCAGAAAGAAACCCAAAACCCTTGGACTGGCCACATGCCAGCCCCCCCCCCCCACTCCAGAAGGGCCTCTGCAACCCCTCAGACCTCACAGATTTAGTGTCTTCGGTCTGGTTTAAAATCAATCCTGAGAACAGACTCGAGTCCAAGACTCCAGCAAAAATCAGGTAAATGAGTGCACCAGCATTTTGGCCGACAGATTTCTCCTGACAGGAGCGTGGGAGACCTGAATGCCCTTTCCAAGGATGCCGGGCTCAGAAAGAAACCCAAAACCCTTGGACTGGCCACATGCCAAATATGTGAGCTCATGATTTCACCACGTACAAACAGGTTCCTGAAGGGACACGCAAGATGAAAATACTCAGCAGGAACTTTATTTCAGTCTCGATAGCACAGAAAGTCCCGGCTCCTATCAGTAAACAACCGCCACCTTCCAGCCGATGAGATAAGCAGAGGCTATTTGGGCGCCTGCTCCCGGTGCAGCAGAAACACAATGAGGCCAAGGCGCCGCCAGAATCTTCCTTCCCGCATGAGTCAGCCCCGGCGGCGCAGAGCGGGGCCCGGCCGGCACGTGCTGCCAGCGGGCAGGGCAGCACCACACCGGCACCGCAGCGGGCGGCAGGACCGGAGAGACTGCACCAGCCGGTCCCGGCCCCGCAGCCCGGCAGCCACGGGGATGGACGGGCAAGGCCTGGGCGCAAGGAGAGGGAGGGAGGAGTTGGAGAATCTAAGAGACAAGCCATGGCTGATAAATAGAGACTGCGCAAACGTGCAAGGAAAAAAAGATCAGAATCTGCAAAACAGGAGAACATCCAAGAAAGAGGAAAGGGGCGAAGACTGGGTGAGAAAATGTCATGGCACCTGCTTTGTTCCAGCTTCCAGGTACAAGACACACCCACTGTCGCCCTATGAGCAAAGGCTTCTCCAAAATACCTCATATTTTAAGCTCCAAGTGAACTCAGTGCTTGTTTTTGAAAGCTTCCCAGAAATAGAGCAAAGTTATGCGGTATTTATAGCTTTTAAAACCAGTTATGATTAATTTGAATCCCCAGACTCCCAGCTTCAAACCACAACCTCCATTCCCATCTTTTTCCTGAAGAGCAGAGGAAGGAGAGGGGCTCCCAGCCGGAGAAAGAGGAGACAGCCCTCTCTGCCAAGGCAGTGGCTCCTCTCTGCCCTTGGACACATCACGTAAGCTTCCCGATCTCAGGGTGATGCTGGCTTTTATCTTCATGACATTTTAAAATGCAGAAGCTATCCCACAAGAGTCTAGATTTGTACAGTCAGGCATTAACCTGTGATTAACCCCCGAGCTCCCCGCAGACGGAGCAATCACCCGCTCACCCCAGACACTACAGAGACGAGCACTCGCCATGGTGTAACTGCTCCTCTGCAAATGGCACACCTTTAATTAGTTTGCATCAACATTCCAAATTACTATCTTTTTAAGCACTTATCAGCCAAATGCAGGCTCCCCCGGCAGCGCTTTGCTGCCGTGGTGCAAGGCCAGGCTCCGGGCCCCACTCAGGGGAGCACTCGGGATGGTCTAATGGCACCCGACAGACCAGGCCTCACACCGCACCTGCCGGGGCAGCTGTATGGACCTTGCTGAAGGGTTCCAGGGGACAACTAGCCAGTTTAGCCGACAGCACCCATGAGTCCTCATGGTCTTCTATTGTACTTTGAGGGCGCTCCGTCAGCTGTGCTGTGCTTGCATATGGTGTTCCACCGTGAATGGCTGCTGCTGTGCCTGCGGAACAACAACGCACACAGCCGCGGACAACGGGAGCCCTCTCTGCTGGGCAGCGGAAGGCCGGACTCCGCATCGCTCCGTTATGAGAATTCATGACAATGAGGCACCAGGAACCAAAGCTGCTGTGCTGGGCACCAGTTTCAGCCAAACCGCTGATTGCTGCAAAGCAGGGCTAGAGAAGCGGCGCTGGCTTTGTCTGCCCAAGCTCTGCAAAGCTCACAGAAAGCTCCCCGTCTCTAGAAGATCCTAGCGGCCTAAGCTTTTCCAAATGTTTTCTCAATGATATGGCACCAGCATGTCTGAAGAGCTGTCAGGCACCTGCACATCGTGCTGTCCTCAGCCAGCCCGTCCCACGCCAGCAGCTGCCCCGAGCCCCAGGTCGTGCTTCACAGCATGAGCGATGTGACCCAGGCCAGAAGCAGCCTCACTACAAAAGCCTGCCATCGTCCGTAAGAATGAGGAGTTGGGCCCCTGGCATTTGCTATTTAAAGTTAAAAAAGCAGAGTTTAAGCGTTTCATTTAGACTGCCGTGCCTCGAGTGGCTGCAGGAGGGCTCTGATAGCTCTTCCCTCCACAGCTGGGGGATGAGCCCTTGCTCCCAGCGTGTGACGGGACACGAGACTGGACAGGACAGGCTGCTGAGAGCTCTCTCGCAGGGAAGGTTCCCTCAGCACCTCCCCATGGCTGCTTTCCCCAGGGTGGTGTGAGGAGGCGGCTGCCATTCCCTGCTATCACCTCTCCCCCGTGGCCTGAGCAAGGGCTGGCAGCACTGCAGCGACTCTTCTGCCCTCCCGCTCCTTCCAGGAAGGCTGATGGAAACGGGGGCTAACCAATTCCAGAGCCACAGGACCTCCATGACGAGGGCACTGCCAATATCTGACATTTATTTTAACTTAATTTCATTGAACCCTGTTTGCTGTGGGGCTGAGCAGGAAAGGGAATGGAATATCCTAGTTTTGGCACTGGGGTGAGACCGTGTCTTTTTGGAAAGCCCTGAGAAAGGTGGACATCTCTTTCTCTGGCAGACATGGGTCGGAGTGCTGTAGAAGGCAGGGTAAGGATACTGTCCACATCTGGTGCCCTGTCTCTCCCCTTGACACAAAGTTTTGCAGGACTTTTGAGGGCAAAGCACTGTCTGGATAATAATAACTGCATCAGTGCACTCCTTGTCCTCTGGGACACCTTTCTAAACCTCTTTGGCATGACCTTTTATCTTGGAAACACCATGAAATAATCCTTTTTCCTTGCTATTTCTTTCCTGTACAGAAAGGGAGACGAGCAGCAAGATAACAGTATTTACAAAATCCTAAGCCTGCAGGACTCCCGATCTGAATCGGGCTGTGGGAACAGCCCGATGAGTCGTGCTCCCCAGGACTGTGCTCCCCAGCTCACAGTACCCAATCCCGAAACAAAGTACAGAAGTACTTACCTGTACCGCTCCTCCTGCAGCGTCTGCATTATTAATGAGTAATCCTTCTGATAGCGAACCTTAAGGTCCTCAAATGATTCTTCCAGTCTTGACTGTGTCTCTCGAATTTCTTGAATCTCATGCAGTATTGCATCAAACCCTGAGCTCTGCATATCCAGAGTGTTTGTTTTGGAGCTGGAAGCTCCCACAGGGCCCCCTGTTGTGCTGTTGGCTCCCACTGAGCCCGACGTGGCACTGGAGCAATCCTCTTCACTGCCATATTTTGGACTCGACTGAAAGTTCTGAATAACACCTAGAGCCTTGCCTCCCGTCCCATCTTCCTGGCCTTCTTCTAAGGAGTCTTTCAGATTAGCAATGTTGTCTGCACTCCCAAACTTGTTCCTTATGAGGGAGGCAATCTCCCGGGGCTTGGAAACCACAGCTCCTGCTGCCGAGTGTGTGGCTTGGGAGAAACTGGAAAGCCCACCTTTGACGCTGTCGACTACTCCCTCACTGAAGCCAGTGACTTTTGCTCCAACATCTTTCAAACCCTGGTGCATATCCCTGAAGACATCCTTCGGCTGCCGAGGGATCCCATTCTGCTCAATCTCTCGCAGCTTTCGATGGTAATGTTCTAGTTTCTTCTGCAGCTGCAAGATGGTCTGTGCTGACTTTTGGTTTTTCTTCTCAAACACTTGCTTAATGCGGGCACTCTGCTGCTTGTCTGCGTTGTTGGCCAGTTTCAGGTACTCTGCCACGTTGTCATCACGGGCTGTTTGTTCAATTTTGATCTGCTCGGTCAACTTCAGTATCTTCTGCTGTAGGTGTGTGATAGCCACTTTTGTCCGCTGAGGGTCTGGGGTCCCATCAACAGAATCGGCGTTGATGCTGCCATCGGTGCTGGAGGCCACTGCACTGGAGGTCTGTGCGAGGCTGCTGACTTCCAACCGCTCGATCTGAGCAGGGAGAGAGAGAAACGTTAAGTGCCAATCACCAGCTTCACTAATACAAAACCTTTCCTTCCTTGTACCAGCCAACTCAACAAGTGGATGTAATTCTGCAAAAACGCACCTTTTTTCAGCTGGCCAGGGTACGGTACCAATCTACTGAGCTCCACATGCTCTACAGACATCTAGTAAAAGCTGAGAAAAAAAGCAAAACCCCTCATACTTAAGCCAACTTAATGGCCACCAACAGCCAAAAAGTAGGAGAGGGCACCCGGGCTGGGCAGGCTGAGCTCTGGGAAGCATTGGTGCAAGGCCAGCAGCTCCATCAGCCGGCGACTGGGAGGAGCAGAAGGTAACTGGGAAGGAGCACAACCCACCCAGACCAAGCGCACAGGAACCAGTTACCCCAGTGCTCCGTCTGCTCGTCCCAAACCGAGCGACACTGAAACTCACCGGGAGCTCCCGGCCGCCCCGCGGCTGGGGGGGCCCTGCCCCGGGCCGGGGACGTTGCCGGCGGGGGGGGACACCGACTGCCGAAGCACAAACCTCGTTTTTAGCCCAAGAAGAGTAAAATGCCATTTCAGCTTAAACGAGCCGCGCGAACAACCACCGCGGCAGGACGGGCCCCGCGGCACGGCCACACGCCAACCCCCCCGCCCGACCCGGTGCGGCGGGAGTCCCCGGCC